CATTCAGACTTGTCAAAGATTAAATCTCCTGTTCTGATCCTTAAGACCTAATAACCCAAAACTGTCTAAGTCCGTAGATAAGTATGGTTGAGATAATGGAATATGAGTTTTTTAAGCATGATAATCAAGTTACGAAACCATTAGTCCTAACCTTTCCGTCAAGGGTCATTTAACCTTAAACCTCCAAGGAAAAGCAAGACTGGGGTTGCGTAATCTGACGTCTCTGGTTTGCTTGAAGAGCTTAATCTAACATTTTGGGCGAATGTGCGTGAAATTAGAACCATCATTGAGCAGACAAATTGAGTCTCCTTCTTGTTGAAGGTTGATGCATGTCACAAGAAGACGATGGCGACCCTCAATTGACCTACTGATTGATTTTAGTGGGTTATTCTCTAAATTTCCCTCAGGCAATGCTCTTATGAGGTCCGGCAAACGGCAGATTAGACGAAAGCACAATTAAACATCACCGTAACCAACGGTTTTGTGCTGTTTCCAGACATTTAAGCAGCAAAATGTGGGGAAGCCACAGTCGTCCTATGATTAGATAGGGTCTTTTTGTCCGAACACTTTCGCAAATGTCCCCATTTAGGCCCTCATCTCTTGATTCGGTGAATGCCAGTCTGTGAGTGTAAATAACTCGCTTGATTCCAATCGATAAAGTAGCCATTTCGAAGGTTCTTCCCGAGTGCGACGGATTCAGTTAGCTTGGCTCTTTCACATTCGTTTTACTACCAGATGGTAATTGGTCAGGTTTCGTTGAATAGTGAATTAGCATCAGTTGACTTAGTTTCGGCTTTTTCAGTGACATTCTGCCCCGTCTCTATTCAAGAGAGAAAGAGCAGTTCGCATCCGACGTGCCCTGGTCGCGGTAGACTGCCGCCGAGAGTGCATCTGAGAGGCGCTAAAAAGGCATCAAACTGACACGATGAAGTGGTTCATGCTGTCACAGGAATGGAGACGAAAAGTCAAGCAAATCTCGCCTCAGACAGCAGATCAAGAGTCGCTGGAAGAAGGCGTGATAACGCCTCAACTCAACAACAATAATCACTGCGAGCCTTCCGGAGCCACAGAAACGACAGCCAAGCAGGTATTTCGGAAACCGGATGACATTGCAGCGGCGCGTGAAACGGAAATCCACTTGCCGCGGCGGAAGTGGGCGGCCGGAGGCGTGGAAACCCGTGAACCGGCTGCTTCGCGATGGCGTCTCTGGCCTACCTGGTTGCCAGGTGCCATACAGGCGCGCCATTTGCCATCTAACCTCTCGTTGACACGCATTTTGCGACGGCTGGAGTCCACCTCGCTGGTGGAGCCGTCTCTCTCGCCGCAACACTTGTCCCCGAAGCAGCATCCTCGCCAGGAAACCGTGTCTGTAGAGGCGTCAGAGTTAGACGAGTCGGCAACCATCGTTTCTGCTGCGAACGCCTCACGGAGACATTGGCGATGGCGTTGGCGCCCTCGGAAGAAGCGGCCAAGCTTTTTGGAGCTTTGCGCTCAATTGGCTGAATTGGACCAGACCGAGGGCGATGGTTGTGCAAATAGTAGATGGAGAAAATCGCTGCTTTGGGCAAAGATAAGTCAGTTTCGACGAGGCATTCCAGACCTTGCCACCTCGCCCAGTTCGGCAGAACCGCATTCTCCTCATTCTCAACCTGTAGTCTTACCCTTTCAACGCGTGAATAGCATTTTTCGGAGGACACAAAGGAGTGGTAATGAGACACAGAATAATGTCTCTTCTGCAGATGAAGAGGCGAGAACTGGAGACGTGTGGAGAAGAAAATTTACGGAAACAGAGCTGCATTCAAAGAGTGAAGGAGCAAGCGAGGCCAGTTCAGATGAAGAAATGAGGAAAGCAGTTTCTGAGGTTATTCTGTTTCGTGAAATGCCAGCCGAGCAACGCAAACCTGATGGAGAGATGAGTAGAAAAGAGACAAAGCCCATAGCAACAGCAAGATTGCTACAGTCGGATGGAGTAGCCTATCTTGACAAGGCCCTGGAGCAATGTGATAAAATGCTAAAACATTCCGTCGCACTCGACCGAAATGGGCTTTCTGAAAAGCTTAGATTAAATCAGATTAAGTCAGGCTTTGGGCGTCCGTCTAAAGCGGAATTGGTCAATTTCGCGTCTTCCCTTGCCCCAAAATCTTTAGAAACATGTAGGACCCAAGAAGTTGCATCCCTCCATACAATTCACACAAAAGTACGCAGTAGGCACTCCGACTTCGACACAAATATGACTTTTTCCGATTGTTTACAAGGTTTTAGAGAAGCGAGTTGTGAGGCTAAAAAGTACGATCAGTCTCAAGAATCTGAGACGGTACTTACGTTTGCGAAACCCGACACCACTCCGACGGAAGACCATGTTGCCGTTGACTCGGGAGGTGAATTGCCCACTTCGAGGGAGTTGCTGTCGATGGATGGGCGAATACATGAATTTAGTTCAAACCACATGGATCTGGAAAAAAATGATCCAGCTCAGGCTTTTGCCAAATTCGAAAGAGCCAAGTCAACTCGCAAGCTTCACGGTGATATGTTGGATTACGGACGATACAGCATCTGGTCACACGGAAAGATAAAACATGTAAAACCGGCATCAAAGGTGTCTGGAACACAAATGGATGACATTTATCTCACGAATGCCAAGTATGAAGAGATACTAGACCGACTTACTCAGCCTCACGGTGATCCGGCATTTAAGCAGTTGCCGGCCAGCGGGGTATCGAGGCTCAGGCAACGGCACCACGACAATAAAGGGGACGGGTCGAGACTGAATTTACCTGGAGGCAAAGTAATCTCAACAAGACCCTACAGGACTCGAAAGAGGCTTTTGTCTATGTTGAACCAGAACGCAAGTAACAGCAAACTATGGAGACCGTTGGAGTTGGAAGAAACAGGTGTGTCAGTTGTTAATGCTATATCTCAGCCTCCCTATACGCATACTCCGATCAGGCATAGAAAACCTCAAGTCCCACACCATAGACGACGCAACGAAAGTGACTTTGTTTGACCAGACTTTCCGTTAACATCCATAAACCCGTAGCAAATGATCTATTCAAGCGTTACTTTATCTCATTATCCCTGAAATGGCATTGCTTAAGGGATGATATTCTTATTTAAGTGTATTGGAATCATAACAGCTGACCAGTTAGGGGTTAATTTTGGTTAGAAGGGGTATCTTTTCTGCTATCATGTTGGCCCACTGTATCTCAGGAAACTTGTTAGATGATAGCCTCCGTAAGCAAGGTAAGTAATACAAGTTTAGCAAACCAGTCAGAAGGGACTAGCATAATTTTCTCACTATGTTACTCACTTGGGGGAACAGAATAAAATATCTAAAAGTACTCTGTCTATGTCCAACAATGTAAACCATTTTTTAGTTAAATTGAGGCTGCATATAAACATATTTATTACCTTTGAAATTCAACAGTTAAGGGCGGTAAATATCGTTCGAATTCCTGTTTGCTTAGATTATGAGATAAAAGAAGGAACAAGATATATTAACTTGTAACACCCACCATGCATTAAATATATTTTAAACATTGATAGACAAAACTCCGGCAGTTATATATCAGTATCTAGGACCAACATACTGTGGGTTCCACCTTCACAGGTGAGGCTGATGAGACCTGAAATGGGTCAGGGTCTTTAGTTGACTAACTATGAGGGCATTTATAGGTCCACTATTAGCAAATGGTATCAGGAAAAGAAAAACCCTCAGATGATTTTAATAAAAATAATTTATTTAGTAATTGAGAGAAAAATGAGAAAGACTTCTGTAATTCTCGCCTACCTTCGATGAAGTACAAGTGCTTCAGTGACTCTGTCTGGAGTGAATTAAATTTACTGGTCAAACAGAGTGTAGAAGCAATGACCCCATAAAAGGATTATATTAATGCCTCTCGTCAGTGGTGCATAGTTGGGTGTTAGTCAGATAATTAATATGGATAGAGTATCCTGGAAAAGAAGAAGCGATATTCAAAATCCAATATTAACATCTGATCAGTTAAATTGATGTCAATAATGTTAATGATTGTCATATTTATTTCGTCAAGCAATAGAGACAAAACGAATATATTTAGCCCTATTTAGCGATATTTTTAGTCCCTTAATTTATGCCATAATATCTGATAAATATGGAGTAAAGACGGGTTCCGAAGAATCCCTTAATGATAAATGGGACTCGACGTTTCATCTAGAAAGAAAAGTTTGTTGGAAGGAATTCTTTAATTGATATCATCGGGAACCGAAGGAGTGAAGAATGTTGGATTGTGCGAAGTCCTCAACTCAGCCTCATGCGTCCCTGATTAGCCAGTGCAGAACTTGTGGCAGTCATGTGACAATGATCGTCAGATCGAAAAACATAATTTACAAACAAAGCACCTTTATACCAAACCAACAGTATAAGTGTCCTTTTACAAACTACACACTTCTTGAACTATGCTTGCGATCTTAATGAGGTATCCAATGAGGCATGTTTGCAGATGGATGAAGTTAATTCACAAAAGGTACGTGGATGCGGAGACAATTATCTCGCTACCTAAATCCTCTAATAGAAGGTATGAAGATCAAAATGGTATTGGCGTGGTCCCTTTT